GTTTTTGCAGAGATAGGTGGCAAGAGGAATCATAGAATCACAGAATCATAGGATCACAGAATGGGTTCAAAAAGACCTTAAGATCATCCAGTTCCACCCCCTGCCATGGGCAGGGATGCCTCACACTAGACCATGTTATGCTCTGCCCTTATGCATCAGTTCCATAGCCCCATCATAGAAGGCCACCAAATTGGTCAGGCAGGATTTGCCCTTAGTGAAGCCATGTTGGCTGTCATGAATCACCTCATTGTTTTTCATGTGCCTTAGCATGCTTTCCAGGAGAATCTGCTGCAAGATTTTGCCATGCATAGAGGTGAGACTGGCTGATCTGTAGTTTCCCATTATTACTCCTTAGATCAGATTATTGAACCTCAGTATTAGTGCAAATGCAGAAGTGCCTTACCATCTTCTCACCAGGACCTACCCTGACACCCTGAAGTTTGTGAACCACTTTAGAATTCGATAAAGGTAAAGCACCTCAATTGTAATAGCATTTATGAAATAGATAAAGAAATGAATATTCACACAGAGCCTGTTGAACCAGTTAAAGGGACAGAAACATTTTCATTCAAATGAGGTTGCAAAAAGACAGATCAATAAATTACTGTGTTCACATGAGTAGAATGACAAGTAAATGAAACAAATAGTCAGTTTGATTTGTGAGACTGACACCAGAAAGAACCATTTTGTACCAGTCTTGTGTTTAGAGGATTTCAGTGGGACTCAGGATCTAATAGCACTGCTTTCAAGTCTCACCAGTAAAAAAAGTAGGAATCCTTAATATTTATAGTACCTTTACCAAGACCTCTATTTAGAAATGTCTTCAGGTATTTCCAAATACAGCATGCAGTGAAATCCATGCATTAGTAAATATAGTATTATCACTCGAACACTCGTAAAATGTTACTGCTGGTGCTCATAGTTGTGGGTATCACCATTCCAACCACCCTTGGATGTGGGAACACAGAATTGTTCCAGGTACTGGTTAGAAGGGATTTCCAAATTGCATTTAAAGCAGTTTTTTAATAACTCTTTTTTAAAACAGGATCCTTTTCAAGGATGTCTATTATTAGGAAATAACCTCAACAGTGTTACAAGGATCTGCACGTACACACAAGCTAATATAAAAAGAAAGAATAAATGGAGGTGTTCTTAAAAAACAAAAGCAAAAATGAAAAGTCCAAATTCCTCCTGCTTCATGCTTTGCGCTTGATATTATTTGTTACGTAGAAGGCTGTTGTTGTCTGTAGTTCATAACACATGTAAGTTGCTCAACAGGTTGCAGATGGGTCATGTTGTTCATTGTGGTATCTCAATTTAAGATCTTCCATGTTTTCCTCCTTTGGGTGGCTTGTCCACAGAAAGCTGGGTCAGAGAGTTGGAGAAACCAAGTAGGACTATTAAGAGGGTAAGATGATGGAAAGATAAATTCTTTCAGCATTCTGTCAGTAATGCTGTAATAACAGCAGTAGAATAAATACAGTAATAACTAAAACAAATCTTGGCAACTTGATAAAAAATCACACAGCCATTACTATCAAGGAAGAGTTTGTTCTGTAGTTTAAGACTCAAGTTTAATCTTAATCAGCAGAGCTTCCCTGTTCTTAAATATATTTACCACTATACAAAATATAAAATATACACTACCTGTATAATTTGTCAACAGGGTGTTTATGCTTAGCATAAGCAAATATGCTGGTATTTGAAGTTTGGGTTTTTTGTGATAATGTTGAATGTCGGAAACATTCTATTGGACGAGTATACATTGGTCCATACTACCTTTTTGTGCTAATGAATCAAGTTTATTGATTCAAGGGTGTTGACACAGGGCTAGAGCCATTATTCTGATCTATGTTGGGTTAGAAGAGATTCAGTCTATGTGTATTAGGGAACCAAAAGTAAGGGCAATCTTTAAAAGCACTATTCCTTTCCTTTTGTTGTTTTGGTTTTTTTGTTCTTTTTCTTGCGTATGGCACAAAACAAATCTATCATGAACCTCTGGAATCTCTAGCATCAGACTCTGGTGGGAATTGATCTTAGATCTATTTTATAAGCCTAAACCATGTTGCTGATTGATGATTGTTGGGTTCTTTCACATACAGGATCATGCTTGCTGGTCTCTACCAAACTTGTTAGGAGAACAGCAGCGTCAACAGTTACTGTCTGAAAAGATGTATGGGAAGTGTCAACTGAGCACAAGAGACATGTAAATCCTTGTGTAAGGAAAACCAGCATCAGGAACTTTGATTTTATATCATGTGGTGTCACAGGGTTGCTCAGATCGATTAAGTGCTCATTTGTGGCAGCAGCTTCACTCTGCTTTGGTTTATGTGTCCAGTGTAAAGCATGTTATGTATTTCAGAGTTAACCTATCTATCTCTGCACTCTTCTTGTGCCAAAAAGAAATGTTTTGCTGATATAGAGTAACTTGGGGGGGGGGTGTGGGGTTGCCTGTATATAGAAACTCTCCAGATGAAGAAATCTGCAACAATTATTGCATATTTTATCACCACCTACTGAACGTGACTTGTGTAATACTCTACACATATTCCATGCTAGAACATTATTTGTTTGGGTGCTCCTGACTTTCATTTAGACCAAGATAAACAGTTACAAAATGCAATGTGACAGCACAGTAGAAATTATTCCTCCCATTCGTTTCGCGCTGCCTTCCAACAAATACCGATAGTTAGTTCTCTTTCTCAATGGTTCAACCATTGCCACATGTCAGAAACTTTTAAAGAGCTGGTTTAGGCTTGGCTGATTTATTTGCAAGATGCTACATGATTTAAAGAATTAGAATTGCATCATTTACAGTTCTGTGTCAACCAGAAAGACTGCCCATTCTATGCAGGGCTACGTGAGACTGCTATGTGAGATTTCATCTCTCTTTATCCAGCTGTTTTCAGGCTACTGTTACTTCACTGGGAAACAAGGAAGACAAAGCCCAAGTCTTCACACTTGCCATTGTGTTAACAGTCTGAGATTTGTAGTGTGCTAAGAAAAAGAACTGTAAGCTGCAAAGCTTCATCACCACTTTATAGCACTCATCTCCTGTAAACTCCATTCCAGAGTCCTTTAAGAACAAACTTTCCAAAATAAAGTTATTCTATATAAATTAAATGCTCCCTTTTTCCTGATGCAGAGGCCTATCAGATCATCTCTGCTTTGATCAGCTCTTGCCTAGGCTTCCTGCATGCCACCTGCTTGGGAAACAGGGAACACAGCTGTAATTGCACCTCACCCTGTGGAGGAACCTTGGTCAAGGATGGAGTTTGGCTTTCTTATCTTTCTGCCCTTCCTCAAGCTTGCAGCTTCAGCTGAGTTTTCTCAGTCCCTGTCAGAACTGGGAGCTCATCACAACATCCATTGATCTTTGACTCACAGTATGTGAATAGTCTGTGAAGCTCACTGCCACAAGATGGTTGAGACCTAGAATTTCTCAGGCTTCATGCAGGGACTAGTCTTTGCTGTAGACAATATCTGTGCTTATAAAAATGCTAAATTTATAAACATAAAGAAGTTTGGCATAAGGTGGAAAACTCGTGTTTTGGTATTTAGTGTCTGACATGGTTTACTGGTGGACTTGGCAGTCCTGGGGCAAAGGTTGGACTTGATGATCTTAAAGGTCTTTTCCAACATAGTTGATTCTATGATTCTATTGCATAAGAACGAGAGAACCCTAAATCTCAGGTTTATATCAATCAAGTTTATATCAAGATCAATATTCCGTATATGTGAGCTTAGTTTTTTCTGAGTCACCTGCAAAATTGATGTGACCTTATAGGAACATAGCATTCCCTTCTCTTTGCCATTTGTTACAGCTGAGATCTCTCATCTTTTTACTGCATAGCAGATCCTCTCTGAACATCAGATATATTTAGACTTTGGCTCTACAGGGCTAAGATGTAAGTTAGGCTAATTATGTACACAGTGCCATTAGATATAATTTAATTGACAGCAAAACTTGATGTTAATAGTTGCTGTTGTTGTTGTTGTTGTTATTGTTATTATTAACCCCAAAAACTTTTGATGTTTGTTGTTGACTTTAGAAGGAATTCTTTGAACAATGAGATGCCTGAATGACTGGAATATATGCAGGAAACTGAAAGGAACAGTATGTAAAGAGTTGTCAATATGCAAGCTAAATTAACTGGAGATAAATAATGTTTCCTTAATGTGCTGTTTGTGTACTCTGATCTGGTGGTATAACAGTAGATAACAACACTTTTAGTTAAAAATGAGACAGATTGAGCATTTCAAAGGCCAAGGACAACCTGAAGGTTTTGGGCAGTGACGAGACAGTTAAGAGAGACCTCATGGAGAGGTTGGAGCCTGCTGCTGCTTTCCCTATGCTAGTGCACAAGTTGGCCCTATGCCTCGAAGGCAGAAATTACAGTTGAATGAGAGAGGTTTGTTAGCAAATACATTTAATAGCAGCTTTCGGCTGTTCACAGAGGCTCCTTTACAGCATTACATTTTGGTGCTGTACTGACATGAAGCTCCACTTTATGTCATATGCAGGATGTCCTAATGTTAATGACTGATTAAAGAATTACAGGATGCTGACAGTGCTTCAGTTTTCTATGACAGTCACTGGATATTTGCAGCAGAAGAGCTGCCCACAGCCTTCCTGAACTTTCTCTTCTGTCTAATCCCCATTATTGACTCAGCAGTATGGATGTAAGTTAACAGCTTACCTTATCCAGTTCCTAATGCTCTATGAATGTGCTCACCTAATAGTCCTTTCTGGATTTTTGCCATCTCTAACAGATAATCCACTTAAGTTTTTCTATTTATGCATATTTTTATTCAGTTGAAGTAGTCTAGAGCTCTTGTGAGTAATTAGACCTTCTCAAGGCAGATCAGAAAGGACAAGAAGGAATAGGGCTTTTATTCAAGGGTGTGTCAAAGTGTCTGGTGTGAACATGGAAAGGGAGGAAACTATGGAAGGGTGTGTTTGGGTAAGGGGAGCCAACAAGCCAAAAATCACAGGGAGTGGCTTGGAGAGGGACTTTATAACGGGCAGGCTGAGATGGCTCATTCTCAGCCTGGAGACAGTGCTGCAAGACTTAGACCAGTGCGCCTCAGCACCAAGTGCACATCTACCAGTGCAGATGGCTCCACAGACTGGCTCCACCAGAAAGGAGACACGACCCGTTTCAGCCTTTCTGCAGCTTTTCACTTGGGAAGAGATCAGGATGCACAATGGCCATGGGCAAGGACAGGAGCAATGGCTGGTGATTGACAGGAAAGTGTATGATGTCAGCAAGTTTTCCAAGCGACATCCTGGAGGCAGCCGAGTTCTAAGGCACTATGCTGGGCAAGATGCTACGGTAAGGTCTAGGAGGGCAGAGGAAGAAGGTTGGACCATTGTCAGGTTAGGAGGACATGGTGTTTCCATGGCATCTGCCAGTGGAGAGTGATTGTGGTAGCTGGCATTGTGCTTGGGGCATGGATTTTGCCTAAAGCCAGGATCCAGGATTTTTTTCAAAGTTCTCTTGAGTGTTCCAAAGCTCATAATTATGTATATATGGTGAGAATTATACACATATATAGAATTGTGTATATATGGTGATAATTGTGTGTATATGATTAGAATTATCTTCCTCTGTGGATTACTTTATATAGATGATATGCATTGCAGAACATTATGCTGATATCAAATGCTGAAGGATAGGTGTGTTGCAGATGATATTCCTTAAAGTTAATATCTCATAAGATAGGAATCAGGGCCTAAGAGCAGGGGAGAGAAAGGACAGGTTGCAGGACTGAAAGGCTTATGTTTCTGTGGTACAAATCTGTGGTACTGATATTGTGGGTAGGAAATGCTGCTTGGAAGGGTTCTGGCTCCTGTTTCTAAGGTGCAGTATTGATCCTTACAGCTCGACTCAGTTCTAGAATTCCTGGCAAGAGGGGGCTGCATAAAAAATACATGAAACCTTGTAGGATAAGGGGCACAGAATCATAATGGAAATGTTTCACCATTTCTCTGGGTCTGAACTCATTTGCCACTGTGACAAAGGGCTGCTAGGTATGTATAAAAAGCTCATCTGCCCGAAACGTCACCTTGCTCTGATTCCCTCTAGACTAAGATACTCAAAGACAGATTGTCTCTAAACAAGAGACCCCAGAAGAATGTCAGACTGCAGAAATCCTCTGTCTTCCAGGGACTTAATCCTGACCACATGTGCAGAATTTCTTTGTTCATTGATTTTTAGAGGCAAAATCAGCCAGTACCTCATTAGACAATGAGGATTCTGTTAAATCTCCTTTCTGGAGTATGGTCAGTTTCTTTAACATACTTCTGGAAAAATTCCCTGAGAACATGAAGTAAAGAAGAGGTTGGATTTATCTGGAATTTCATCCTTTATTCGCTGGTTTGTGTTTGATTTTGAAACTGGTATTTCAAATGGTTCTTGGACAGGCCCATTTTTGTGTCACTGGTATCACCCCATTCCCCCAAATGTCAATCAGCCTGAAAACTTACAAGGAATTGTAAGAGATACCCAGTTAGTCCTTCTGTGTGGGGAATTTCAACGTATATCTCTCATGGTCCTAATGTAATGAGGATTTTAAAAACATCAACACAAGTATAGCAAAGACTCATTCATTGACACGCTTTCCTGCTCCTGGGTCCCATCCATAGGGCAGGGCTGCTGGCTAGAGGCTTCTAGGGAAGGACCGTGCTGAAACAAGCAGATCAAAGAGCATGCTTTCCTCTGCAAAGGGTTTTTTCATCAAACACTTTCATGTTCATTACTAGCCTCTCCCAGGTACTCTTATGAAATCTGGTTTCTTGAAACTTCTCCAGCTTCCTTGGGCCGAGCTCCAGTTGATGGCAAAGAACTACAGGAGCAACCAAAGGGACAAAAATGGAGATAGGAGACTGAATTACATATTATATTCCTTCTTAACCCTTTCCTTTGTGTCTTTCTCAGGATGCCTTTATTGCATTCCATAATGATAAGTCCTTGGTGGAAAGATACTTGAAATCACTGCTGATTGGGGAACTGGCACCAGATCAACCCAGCTTTGAGTCTAATAAAAAAGTGAGTGTCCTAGAATCCAGCAGTGGGAATGGCTTGGGGTTTGGTATGGGTGGAGAAGGAAAACAAGAGAGCTAGCAGCATGCCTGACACAGTGCCATAGGCATGGGAGCATGCACTGTCCCAGAATCACTAAATCCACACCTGGGTGTGAGGAAGGTGCCCCAGAGCCCCAGATTCCTCTCGGTTCTTCCCACTGCAATGTGTCAGTATCAAACTTGTCAGTAACTTGTTTTCCGGTGTCAAAGCAAAACCAAGATCTGTTGATCTGATGCTGATTTTTATACAGAGAACCCTCTGAGAGAATATCTCCTGCGACTTCCATGTCTACTTTGGGATTCTTGGGTCTGCCGTGTTTCATTTTCAATGTAGTCAGTGCATTAATACTCACTTTTCCCGCAGAAAGCACTTTTAGAGGATTTTCGTGAGCTGCGCTGCTCTGTTGAGAAGATGGGACTTCTGAGGCCAAATTACACCTTTTTCTTCCTGATTTTCCTTCACCTCCTGGTACTGGATGTCGCATCCTGGCTCGTGGTCTGGCACTTTGGAATATCCTTTGTGCCTTTCGTGGTTGGCATGGCGTTCTTCACCACTGCCCAGGTAAACTGCTGACAGCCTTTCAACACTGCAGACCTGTTTGGCTCTCCTGGGTAGATGATAATGAGATGCTGATATCCCAGTTGTTGTTTTACTTCCCCATCTTACATCCTGTTGTCTGGCTGAAGACAAGCATGATCTGCAGCACAGTTTTGGTTGCCTGCAGCAAATCCCATTTTGCTGAGAAGCTGCTTGCCAGGGTTGGTGGGGTGCTGTGAAGCTGGCATTTCATAAGATGGGATGAGCTGATCTCCTCACTTACCCAAGCAAAAGAGGGAATATTTCATGCTCAACTCCACTGTTGAATGTCTGATAGCTCTGGTGCTTGTTGGGTCCTTTAGTAGACAGTTACACTCACTAGTTCTGAATAATAGAAGTGTATGATATGTGTCAGGGTTGGTGGAGGGAAGGAGGAATTAAGGACTTTGTGACCCTTAGATGGGAAACAGTGGAGGCTGAAGGAAGGGAGAAAGCAAGATTTTCTTAGTGGCACTGAATCCTTAGGTTTGTTCAGACATCTATGGACAAAGTGTGAAGTAACTCATCTTTTTAAAACAATCTGTTCTATTTGCCCTGTATCTGCTAAGGCAGACACTCCTCAGAGAGCATTCTTGTATTTCCATAGGAAAAATTGAATGGAATCAAGTTGTGGATTTGTAAATGCTTACATTATGGAGATAGTTACTTGGAAATCATCAATTTGCAATGGGAGCAAAAGACTTCCATGCTGTAACAAAGTAATTACATTACAAATGAATTGTAATGCTATTTTGCTACTTTCCCCTCAGCTGCTACAATAAAATCAGTATCTGGTATCTGAAGAGTTGCACCAGATCATCCTTGAAGTCTCTTCTAACCTAGTATTCTATGATTCCCTGGTGTTCTATGATGCTGAGCAGCTTTAGGACAGTAGCCTGGAAGGACGTTCTCAGCACTGAGCATCTAAGAGAGCAGGTGGGGTTTCTTCCCCAAACCAGGAGGAAGATGCACTCAGACTCTGAAGTTACAGGACTCCCAACACAAATGATTGCAATGCCACCGTGACTATTCTTCCTCAGTGACCCTTTTGTCTTCCAGATCCAGATGGGCTGGTTCCAACATGATCTGGGGCACTGCTCTGTCTTCAGGAAGCCTAAATGGAATCGACTTCTGCAGATTGTGGTGATAAATGTTCTGAAGGTAGTTGCCTCATGTTGGGAATATTCTCTGTGGTTAACATGGACTAAGCAATGAATGGGAGTGTCCCTATATTCAGATAATATTGCTTGTGAGGGAAGTGTAGTGCAGCTGTGAATAAGAGGTGGATAAATAGCAATTGTTGATACTGTTCAAGTCTGAATCCCTGGTCTTCATGTTTTTGTGCAGGGGTTACCAGCCAGCTGGTGGAATCACCTACACAACCAGCACCATGCCAAACCCAACTGCTTCCGCAAAGACCCTGACCTCAACATGCACCCTCTCCTCTTCAGCTTGGGAAAGACACTCTCTGTGGAGGTGAGCATGGGCATGTTTGGAGAAGCAAAGATTTTAATGACAGGAAGCTATAAGTACAGTATAATAACAACGAGGTTGTGCCTTTCTGCATGAACTCATAATTCCCAAGGTGTTCCAAGTCTGAGAGTCTCATTTACTGACTGGTTATTATGATTCTTAGCCACTGTTCCAGTTTAAGCCCAGCTGGTAACTCAGAACCACGCAGCTGTTTGCTTACTCTCCCCTTCCTCTCCCCTTTGGGCAGGATAATGAGGAGAATAGAAAGAATGTAAACCCCAAGGGTTGAGTAAAGAACAGTCCAACACAAAAGTATAATATGAAACTTCTAATAATAATGATAAGGGAAATAACTAGGGGAGAGAATATAAAACTAAAAAGGGAAAGGAAAAAAACAACAAACACAAGTGATGCCCAATGCAATTGCTCACTACCTGCCGACGGATACCCAGCCTGACCCGAACAGTGATCTGCACTTCTGGGTGACTCTCCCCACTTTCTATGCTGGGCACGATGTGCTGTGGTAGGGAATACCCTTTCAGCTAGTTTGGGTCAGGTGTCCTGTCTCTGCTTCCTCCCAGCTTCCCATGCCTCTCCTCAGTGGCAAAGCATGAGACTGAAAACTTCTTGATCGGGGTAAGGATTACTGAGCAATGACTAAAACATTGGTGTGTTATCAGCATTGTTCTCAGACTAAAGTTGAAACACAGCAATATACCAGCAACTAGGATGGAGAAATATAACTGTTATAGCTGAACTCAGAACAGGCACCAGCTCCTGAGAAGCAACGTCTTAAAATCAGTGCTTAAGTTCTCTGTGTTGCTAGAAGAGCAAGGTAAGCACCTTGCAGATAGCAAAAAGAATGAGTCAGTCCACTCACATCAGTGTTAGATGTTGTTAGTGATGCTGTAGATAGTGAGTCAGATGTTCCCTTTGGGTCCTTTGGCTGTGGGAACTGTTTGGCAACTAAATCCTTCAGGACCAGTATAGGTGCTATGCACAAAACACAAGCAGAGGAAATGATGTCTTAATCATAAATTTTATGGCATTGATAAAAATAAAAACTGTGAACAGGCCCTCCCCAGATTCTTATGATTTCTGATTCCATCAGGATAGGCAAAGTCTCTTTTGCTTCTTCATTCCCTGGCAATTCTGTTTACTCTTGGGGTGATGAAACGATGTCTTTGCTAGATAACCAGCCTCTTAAACTAGCATCTCATTATTCTTTAGCTGGTAATAAGCAAAGAAGTTATATTATAGTATTTTTCCTCATGCCTCTCCAAGGCATTTGGAAAATTCCAGTTCTGCTATCTCAGAAAGACTCCTTTGCACAAAATATTTATCCAAAAAAGTTTGCACAAAATATTTATCCATAGAAAACTGTTAGCTGCAAGTAGGAAGGATTTTGTCCATGATCTTCTGAAAGCTCTCTCATGGCTATATATGAGAATGAGCATGAACATCTCTAGTGGCTACGCTAGACTGGGTTTGATGGAAGTGAAAATGTAGGAAACCAGTTCTCATGTCTTCCTGCTTTTTAAAAGAAAAGCACACTGTGGCATGGGGACATGTAGATGGGCAAAGTGGATTTCAGAGCTTTCATTTCATAGAATCATAAAATAGTTAGGTTTGGAAAAGACCTTAAGATAATCCTGTCCCAACCCCCCTGCCATGGGCAGGGACACCTCACACTAAACCATGCCATCCAAGGCTCTGTCCAACCTGGCCTTGAACACTGCCAGGGATGGAGCATTCACAACTTTCCTGGGCAACCCATTCCAGTGCCTCACCACCCTTACAGTAAAGGACTTCTTCCTTATATCCAATCTAAACTTCCCCTGTTTTAAGTTTTAACCCGTTACTCCCTGTCCTATCACTACAGTCCGTAATGAAGAGTCCCTTCCCAGTATCCTTATAGCCCCCCTTCAGATACTGGAAGGCTGCTCTAAGGTCTCCCCTGATCCTTCTCTTCTCCAGGCTGAACAGTTTTGACCGAGTGAAAACATCTTTGAGGTGTTCATGCTTTTATTTTCTCACTAATAGGGAAGATCTGGAAATAGTTTGTTTTGCTTTCTTATTATTTTGTCATTTGAACAATCATAAGCACAAGATGTGCAGATAACATTAAGAATCCTTTTGTATGAATAGTGAAAAGATACACTGGGAAGGAAGAAAGAAAAACATTGTGCTTTTTGTAAATATTTCATCTCTGCTGCTTCATGTACTTGAAGGTAAAGTATTCAAGAAACTAAAAAGGCTGATGTCTCTATAGAGTGCTTGCTGCTTTGACATTGCAGACATTATTGTACAGTCATTAAAGGATGGCATCCAAAAGTTTTCATCGTTTTTGACCACTATCTCCTCTATTACTCCAAAATTTGGAATGTCTGCATCCTATCTCATCTGATACAGTGATTCAGATGTAGCTTTCACAGCAAACACATCCTGCATTCATCACCCTCCAAGATTCCTGTCTTACACTTCATGTTAATAACCTGCTCCTCCCCAAGCACTGAGAGTCTCAGCTCTGCAGTAAATATGTGGCTAGATGGGACTTTCATTACCAGTGAGCATTGTGAGCATGACTTGTAAGCATTTTTTTGTGATTTTGAGCATTTCTGTATCCTGCCATGCGTTTTGGAGCCATCTTAAAAAATGGCTTTGTTCTCACATTGACATAAGATTAATACCTAGATACAGAGGCTGAAATGAAACCTGCTTCTCTCTCTCGATTTGGAGCTTCAGTACCTGCTTTTCAAGAGGGGTTGAAATAGGAATATTCAGAGTTAGTTCTTGATGCATTCATTAGACAGGAATAAGAAACACCTCATGAAGGCTCTCAGGTTTCCAACTGGCCCATTGCAATGTCTTTTCATCTTTCAGCTTGGAAAAAAGAAGAAGAAGTTCATGCCTTACAATTATCAGCATAAGTATTTCATCTGTGAGTATCCTCATTTCCTTGCAGCGCTGCAGAAACTTCACCTAAGTATCATGACTACATCTCCTTCCCAAAACAAAGGCTTTAAAGATATTCCTGTTGAAGTCACAGCTCCCAGAAGTTTTCTTCACACCAAAAAAGATTCAGATGAGGAGTTATTGCCCCTTATGTCTCTCTTAGGATTATGTGGCATTAGGCACCATATAGGGGTAAATCAAGTGTATGGATGAAAGGATTGGGAAAGAAATGAAGTGGTGGCATGAAAAGAGGAAAAGAATATGCTGACATGTGAAACTTAGTGTAAATGAAAGAGAGCACTTTTATTTCCACTGAAAAGAGAATCTTTCTTCTTAGAGAAGAATATTCCAGAAGATTTATGATGCAGTGAATTGATAAATCTCTCTGTATTTTCATTCTTTCCTTCAGTATTGGCCCCACTTGCACTCGTGCCCTTCTTCCAGCTGTCTATATTCTACTTTTCAATCAAGAGGAAAAAGTGGTTGGTAAGCAGTACTTGCAATGTCTAGAGGGAGCATTCAAAAACGGCCTCCACTCTGTGGCTACGTTAAACCTTAACCTCAGGCGATTTGGAGGGTTAAGAGAGAAAAGGCTGATTCTAGGCTTGCTGCAGCAGGAATGTGATCAATGGGACTGGGAAGAATTTTCTAGAAGCTATTTAGCCTTTTAGTAGCTGAATAAAAGTTAACAGAAAACTATCAGACCTAGACACAAAACAAGGCTGTTTGTCTGTGGGTCTTTAGTTACTGAAGGTAATGTGAGTGCTGTGGGATGTTTCAAGGATACAGTCAGCTAGAGACAGAATGATGGTGTGGAGCCTCCCCTTGATAAATGAGAGATCAATATCTAAGAACACTTTTAATACTGGAGTTCAAGTAAAGGGGAGAGGAGGGAGCAGAGAGGGTTCATCAACAAAGCCTTATTTTCATCTTGTTTTGTTGTACAGGACCTCTTCTTGATTGTGACTTTCAACATCCGAGTGTGCCTCATGTATATTCCTTTAATGGGATTTAACAACTTCATGATTTACTACTGGGTGTCCAGGTAACACACAACATACCCAGAGTCTCCATGACTAATACTTGGAAACAGTACTGAATTTCAGTGAAAAGAAATGAAAACTAGTTATATTCATTACAATATTCTCAGAAATAAGTAGTCAGCCAAGAAGAAACAGTGAAATTCAGGGGAGGGCTGGTGGCTGCTCAGGGACATCTGCAACATCTGAGTGGTTCTCAGAAGGAACTCCAAAATGTAGGAAGCAAAGGGGTGACAGAAAATCCTGAATTACGTAAAAGTGCTCTTTCACTAAAGAGGAGATTCAGGAAGGTGTTTTAATGGTAAATTTGAATGGGATTAGAGCTATGGTGTTTCTGTTTATCTGTGCAGGTTCCTGGAGAGTACCTGGTTTATTTGGGTATCACAGATGAATCACATTCCAATGCACATTGATTATGATACGAATAAAGACTGGATATCTACTCAGGTGAGAATCTCTTTTTTCTGGAAGGGGTCTGCAATTCTGAATTGTAGAACAAAAGTCTTATTCTCATATCTGTAACGCTGTGTTAATGAGGTTTGCTCTTGCTCTTTGTTAAATAGGCAGTAAAACACTTAAAACTGTAGTTGTAACAAAGGACATCTGAAGCAAAAAAAATCCTACTTTTTCACTGAAATATTTTCATGTATTTTTCACAATGCTTTTCCCTTCTTATTATGAAAAAGTACTAATGATATAACAATCTCCTTTTTAGGCCAAATAAAAAGAAGTAAAATGTGACTGGATACCTTTAAGTTTTACCCTACATGTTACAGGTTTACTGCAGATGAGATAAATCTGATAATACTTAGGTCTGGTTAAAACTAATATGTAAATGCAACCTAACTTTACTCACATGTCTGCTGCCTCCAGCAATATTATCCCATATAGTGGTTCTAAGTATTTTTTCTTACATTAAGGGGAAAAACCCAAAGGAAATTGGTATTCTTTTGACCAAATTTGGATTTCTGTATCTGAACAACTGCTACATTCATTGAAGTGAAAGACCCATTTCTAGAGCATGATTCACCTTATCCTAAAATACGCATCTAAAGCAGGTCGGATGAATGGCAACTGGTGTTCTCCACTGACTGTAAGGTGATGAGCTCAGATGCAGATTTCAGATTAAAGGTATCTAAATTAGGTGAGATGAAACATGCGTGCACAAGCCTTTGCCATCATCCTTTTGTGTCTGACTCCAATTGTACTAGTTGGAGGAGGCCAGAAGAATGGTTTTTGTTTCTCAGCTGGGCATCTTTTCTTTCTTTCCATCCAAGTGAAAGATGCGAGAACTTCTTTAAAGAATCACAGTTGGGGTTGTGTGCATGACACTCAAGTTGTTCTTTCTGAACAAAGAGCTATTTAAATTCACCTGTATGCTAACAACCCATTTAAATCTAGACTTTGATTAATTCTTCAGGGCAATCATGGCTATAATCCCTGAATCTGACTTGTCCTTTATGATGGACAGGGGTGGGTAATGATTGCTGATGTTCAGTTACCAGACTTGCAGAAAAATGAAATCTAAATCATCTGTTTCTTTGATGTCTTTTCCTCCCAGCTCCACGCAACGTGCAACGTGAAGCAATCTTTGTTCAATGACTGGTTCACTGGGCACCTCAACTTCCAAATTGAGCACCAGTGAGTATGATTCTGGGAAGAAGAGCGGGAATAATATGGGGAACTTAAAAGACAGCAAGGCCATGTAGTCTCACATTAAACCATCTCAGGAGACCCTTTGCTCTCCTTCTGGGAGAGGGCAGGGAATTACTTTGGACAGAGGGAACAGAGAGTGGTGCAAGCCAAGTCCTACACTAACTGCCTCTCCTTCAATTCTGCAGCCTTTTCCCCACAATGCCTCGACACAACTACTGCAAAGTAGCTCCTCTGGTGAAAGCCCTTTGTGATAAGCATGGCATTGAGTATAAAAGCAAGACTTTACTGACAGCATTTTCAGATATATTGCAGTAAGTATCGTTTATCAAGATGGTTTTGCATTGTAATTGCTTGCAAGGAAGAGACATAGGCAAGCATTTCAAATCTATTTCCATAGAGAGATCAAACCTAAAGTTTATTTTGGTCTTTCTAAAGTCACTTAAATTTTCAAATTTTTTTAATTAATTATTTTAATTAATTAATTAATTATTTTTAAAAAACTTACAAAGCTTTAAAAATTTGTTTTCTCTTATTTAACCCTGTCAACATTTTCCCTGTACACAGACTGCTATGAGATATCCATGCAGGCTTTAATCCATTTTTTCCATTTACTTAATTTTCTCTAAATTGCATCCGATGAATTCAATATTGTCTCCTCATAAGTGATTTTATACTTTCTTTTCCTGCAGTTCACTGAAGGATTCTGGGGAGCACTGGCTTGAAGCTTATCTGCATGGATAAAAACTGGCAACTCTCAAAGAGAACCTCTTCACCAGGGAACTGCTGCAGAGTCAGCACAGACCAGCAGTGTGTTTGTGTCTTCTGGCATAGAAACTTGGGAGCTGGGCAAAGCTAACTGCAGTAAGAATGAGTGGTAAAGTGGTTTCAAGAGACGTTTTTCCTTGTTCTCAACCATGGACCTCTGTTTTTCCTGTTCTCAAAATCAGAACATAGAGCCATGATGAACTGGGCCTTTAAACTGGGGAGAAGTGGCTCTGGAATCAGCTTGATCAGTTGACTTCATTGTGATGTCAGCTCATTGCTTATGGAAATGTTTGAGCAACAAAAAAGAGTTTGATAAGTGAACAACAAGACCCACCTGCAACCTGTTGAGTAACTTAAGTGTATTATGAACTGCAGACAACAACAGCCGTCTTTTATCAAGCCCAGCGCACAAAGGAGGAGGAATTTGGACTCTTCATTTTTGTCTTTGTTTTTTTAAGAGCACCTCCATTTATTCTTTCTTTTTATATTGGTTTGTGTGTAGGTGCAGGTACTCGTAACACTGTTCTGGTTATTTCCTAATAATAGATGTCCTTGAAAGGGATCCTGTTTATAAAAGTAGTTATTAAAGAACAGCTTTGAATGCAATTTGAAAATCCCTTCTAACCAGTACCTGGAACAATTCTGTATTCACACATCCAAGGGTGGTTACAAGGGTGTTATACACAATTATGAGCAACAGCACTAACATTTTATGAGAGTTTGAGTGATAGTACTATCTTAAATACTAATGCATGGATTTCACTGCATGCTGTGTTTGGGAATACCTGAAGACATTCCTGAAAAGAAGTCTTGGTGAAGATTAAGGATTAAGGATTCCTACTTTTATTCCTACTTTTTTTACTGGTGAGACTTGAAAGCTGTGCTATTACATCCTGAGTCCCACTGAAATCCTCTAAATACAAGACTGACAAAAAATGTTTATTTGTGGTGTCAGTCTCACAAACCAGACCGATTATTTGTTACATTTACTTGCCATTCAACTCATGTGAACGTAGTAACTGCAACCTCATTTGAATGAAAATGTTTCTGTCCCTTTAACTGGTTCAACAGGCTCTGTGTGAATACTCATTTCTTCATCTGTTTCATAGATGCTATTACAATTGAGGTTGTTTACCTTTATCAAATTCTAAAGTGGTTCACAAACTTCAGGGTGTCAGGGTAGGTCCTGGTGAGAAGCTGGTAAGCCACTTTTGCACTTGCACTGATACCAAAGCCTCAATAGTCTGATCTAAAAGAGTAATACTAGGAAACTACAGACCAGGAGGCGGCTGGTGGCAGCCAGCATGGCTTCACTAAGTGCAAATCCTGCTTGACCAATGTGGTGGCCTTCAATGACGGGGCTATGGAACTGACGGAGAGGGGCAAAGCAGTTGATGTCATCTACTTGGACTTGTGCAAAGTGTGACAGGCCTCTGCATCAGGAAGAAGGGACCATTTAGTTTATCTAGAATAACTTTATTTATGCTGGTTTTCCGTCTCCTTGATGGATTGCTGTCAAAGGATGTGCCCCAGGCACACACTGCAGTCTGGGAAGCACCATGGTGGGTCTCTGGTACAAGGAAGAAGCAGTTTAAAATCAGGCTAGTGCCTCTCCTTTCCCTACTTCTCCACTCATTACTGCACAGAGAATAAAGTAACAGCATGCCTTGAATACATGAGAGGATGAACAGTTGTGTGCAATATGAAGTGGCAACTTTTAAAATGCAAAAGCTAAGTGGAAGCATCTATTATGGTGTACAATGTCCTCTGTTACACAGTGCTGGTAGAGTCAGCTACAAGTTAGGCTCTGCAGGTACAAATTAGACTCTGCAGGTACAAGTTAGGCTCTGCAGGCACAAGTTAGAGTGTGAATGAAGCCAACGAGCTAGTTCCCTGCTTCTCAATGATGTGTTTGGTGCTGAATGTGCCAACTTTGCCTTGCAGTGTCTCCAAGAACCAGGAATGGGCTCTTTAATTGGTTGCCTGCACCCAGGGGAAGGAGTGGGAAGGAGGCCAGTGGGGTGATTCTATGTTAACATGCTACACCATGCAATGCAGGCACTCCTTTAGGACTGGCAGTGCTATTGTACTGAAAATGTGTACAGGGGAATTGCTAAATGCACTTCCATGAAAACAGTGTAATGTCTGTGTTTAATGTATGTAACTACAATCAGAACTAAAGATAAAGCGATATGCTCTCTTTTAAGAGCTGCAAGTGCGGGAAGCTTTTATTTCCTCAACTCTTTAGTGAGAACACGGAAAACTATCTAAACAGTCCTAAAAAGTAAATGAATTTGTTTGGCTCTTGCAAACTAAAACTTACTTTCACCACTGGGATTTTGCATGGCAAGGAAACCAACAAGTAGTGCTAAACTAAAGGGGAAAAAAGAGTCAGTACTTAAGATTCCTGTATGCTTGAATTCTCCTGTTTCCATATGGAGAAATATTCAGCCAGCAGAACCTTGCTCAGGAGGACGAAATGAGAGATATCTTTCCTCAACTAAGCCAAAAAAGGTTCCTAACATACAGCAGTATGTGGGCCCCTGCAACATCAGGAAGATTCATCAGAGGTCATGCGCTTTTTCTGAAAAAAGTCAATATGATTTTTACTCTAAAAATCACAAAGAGGAGCTCTATTGATGTTCCTCTCATTTCTGTTTTTCCTGTATCTATGTTATCACTACTTTCTTTTTCTGCTGTTATTAATTGATACCCGTACATCTTCTTGGTCTTTCATACATCCTCCATTTCTTCTGTCTGTAATTCAATGTTCATCTCTCCTCATTTACAGTTTACCTTTCCCACTCCTACCTTCTTCATTTGATTGGCTCTCTCAAAACCAATAACATTATTGGAGAGCTACTGTGCCTCCACTGGGGTGATCATGATGCTTTCCACTAGCAGAAGCTGTCCTTGACCATAGGCATGGAGAGGCCAGGTCCTTCTTGGAGCCAAACAACTACATACCAGGTACAGAGCTGCTAGGTGTGAGTTCTGGTGTCTCTCCACCCTCACAGGTCAGAACTTATTCCTAATTTCCAATCTAATATCTAATCTGGTTCTTGGGGAGGAGAAAAGTTTGCAAGGCCCAAAGAGGCCCATATGGTATGACAGAATTAGGTAAATTTTATTCCTTCTCTGGATATAGAAACAGAGCACAGATGTACTTCATTGCCTAATAACCAGTGTAGATGCCCACAGGTCCTTAGACTCACCAGGAAGTAAACATTCAGATATAAATATATATACATATATATATATATATAAAACTTAATAAAAGCAAAAATAGTCTAAATGCCCTTGCAACCTGGACCTACTTTAAGTGCTTAGGCTTCTCAGTTTTATTCAAGCTGGTCTACATCAAAAAGTTAATCAGACAGCACAGTCACAACACGATTAAACTATATACATGTATTTATGCATACATATAAATAATATGTGCTATACAGACTCTTTGGACTGTATTCAAACCACCCGGTATTACATATGTAAAACTTAGCATCTAGTTATCTGCCTCAATATGACCAATAAAAGTTATAACACCTAAGCAGTAAAGCAAGCAGTGTACATGTGATCAGTAGCTACAGGGACATCCACCAAGTCATACTGCTCTTTGCACACTTATCTATTCAAGAATATCCCTTAAAGAACCTCCCCCTGTCCTTGTGTGTCCTGACTTCTGCATTTTGCTTTGTACTATCCCAATTTCACCCATCCACAAAGCCAAAACCCCTGAGGACAACTTATTGCGCCTTTCAAAACTGAAAGAGGGCTTGTAAGAAAGCTAGAGAGAGACTTTTACCAGGGCTTGTAGTAACAGGACAAGGGGCAATGGCTTTCACCTCCCAGAGGGGAGACGAGCTGAGCTCTTAGGCAGAAGCTCTTCCCTGTGAGGGTGCTGAGGTGCTGGCTCAGGGTGCCCAGAGAAGCTGTGGCTGCCCCACCCCTGGGGCAAGGCCAGGTTGGACACAGGGGCTTGGAGCAAGCTGCTCTAGTGCAAGGGGTCCCTGCCCGTGGCAGGGGGTTGGACAAGATGATACTTAAAGGTCTGTTCCAATCCAAACCATACTATGATTCTCTGAATAATTTCCTATCAAAAATTTCCATAAGCAATGAGCTCACACCTCAAGGAAGTCAACTGACCAAGCTGATTCAAGAGCCACTTCTCCCCAGTTTAAAGGCCCAGGTCATCATGGCTCTAAGTATGAGGCTGAGAACAGGAAGAATAGAGGTTGATAGAATCATAGAATCATAGAATAGTTATGGTTGGAAAGGACTTTAAGATCATGGTTGAGAACAAGATAAAAATGTCTCGTAAAGCTACTTTCCCACCCATTGTTGCTTAAATTAGCTTTGCCCAGCTCCCGAGTTTCTATACCAGAAGACACACACACACTGCGGGTCTGTGCTGAGTCTTTGCAGCAGTCGCCTGCTGAAGAGGCTCCAGTTGAGAGTTGCCGGTTTCTATCCATGCAGATAAGCTTCAAGCCAGTGCTCTCCAGAATCCTTCAGTGTACTGCAGGAAAAGAAAGTAAAAAGTCACTTATGAGGAGACAATATTCAACTTCATAGAATCAGAGAATCATAGAATGGTTTGGGTTGGAAAGGACCTTAAGGTCATCCAGTTCCAACCCCCCTGCCATGGGCAGCAACACCTCACACTAAACCATGTCACCCAAGGCTCTGTCCAACCTGGCCTTGAACACTGCCAGGGACGGAGCATTCACAACTTCCCTGGGCAACCCATTCCAGTGCCTCACCACCCTTACAGGAAAAACTTCTTCCTTATATCCAGTCTAAACTTCCACTGTTTAAGTTTGAATCCATTACCCCTTGTCCTGTCACTACAGTCCCTAACGAAGAGTCCTTCCCCAGCATCCCTATAGGCTCCCTTCAGATACTGGAAGGCTGCTATGAGGTCTCCCTTGATACTTCTCTTCTCCAAGCTCAACAGCCCCAACTTTCTCAGCCTATCCACATACGGGATGTGCTCCAGGCCCCTGATCATCCTCGTGGCCTCCTTTGGACTTGTTCAAAGTGTTCCATGTCCTTTTTATGTTGAGGACAGCAGAATGGACACAATGCTCCAAGTGAGGTCATAAGAAGCAATTTAGAATTAAAATGAAGTAAATGGAAAAAATGAATTAAAAAATGCATAGCAAAGTCTGTCTAAAGGGAAAGAGTAGAGAGGATTTAATAAG